ACAGATCCCATAGTTGGGGAGACAAAACTCGGCCCCATGGAGCCTCCCCGTGCAGGCTGGTGGCGTGGCTTCCCGCTTACACTCAAATGTCCGGCTGACAAGTTTGTTTCTTCCCCACAGATGCTCTGCACGTGTACATATGTACTTTTTAAACCAGCTACTTTACTCAATTCTCTTATGGCTCTAACATTTTGTTGGCATTTCCTTTGGCTCTCGTGGGTCTCCTGAATCCGTAGCCCCTGAAGATGAGCAGCTCCTGTGTGGGACTCTGAGCCCCTTCCTGTGTTCCTGCCCTGCCGCACTGGGAGCATCTGAGCCCCTCCGCGTGCCCGCCACGGTGGGTGCCCCCAGCCCTCACCAGGGAGGAGCAGCCACACGACTGGCTGGAGGCAGGGTCGGCAGACACCGCCGGCTGGGCTCACGCCCCGCGCCCTGAAGGCAGGGACACGGCTCCTTGTCTTCTTTCTCCCAACGTCTCCACGGCCAGCCCTGCCATGTTCTCATGTCCTGCTGCACACGGCCGGGAGGGGGTGGACCTGGCTCTGGGCAGTGGGGTGGCTGGTGTGGCCCGAGGATCGGGGAGCATGTCCGGACCGCTGGGGAGGGGCACTCGGGTGGGTGCTGCCCGCCCTGCTCTCTCTGGCGCTGGACGCAGTCTGCGTGGCTGGTGGCCACCGTGCCGGACAGCACGGGTCTCAGAGAAGGCGAGGGGAGTCCTGAACATCTGGGTGACCAAGGCAGGACCACGGTCAACGGAGCCTGGCCCGAGCTGGGTTTGGGCTGATGGCAGAACATCTGGATGCAGAAGTCCCCAGAGCAGGACGAAGGTGGGAGAGCACTCGGCATGCCGGCCACACTGGGGGCCTGCGTCGTTCCCACTCTGTCTTGGGCCATGACTAGGGCGCCCAGGGGACTGTGGCCGGTCAGCAGCGGATGGCCGAAGCTTGTCCTCAGTCTCCGGCACCCTGCGGGATCTCGGTGTCTCCAGGTGGCCCTGCACAGCCCCCGTCAAGGTATGGCTTTGGGCCTCAACATGCAGGGCAGGTCCCGTGTCTGAGCCAGTGGAGAGCCCGTGCCGCCTGCTTGGTTGACAGGAGGACTGCCCACAGCACGAAGGGCTCGGGGCGGGAGGAGGGAGACGTCAGTCACCCAGGCTCCCACTGCACCCTCGGCCCTTCTCCGTGTGAACCGTTGCCACGTGCACGTTTGACCTTGGTGAATGCACTCAGAGGTCGGAGAGGGGAAGAGAAGTGCCCCATCCGAGGGCAGCTGGACCAGTGTTGCCCACCAAGGGGGGTGGGCAGTGGCTGCTGGGGACCCTGCCCTGGCCGGCAGTGCTCCTCGGCTGTGAAGCCCCTGGTGACCCTTGCCCCACACTCAGAAGCCCCAGCATCTCCCCAGGACCGCCTCTGGCCGGCGGACCCCAGAAGCAGAGGCAAAGAGATAATGAGCCCCTCCCCACCCCTGTCCTGGCCCCACAGCAGGCCCTGCTCGGCCCCCTTTCGGCCCAGAGTGGGGCAAGCGGAACATGACCATGGTCAGCTCTGCTGGAGGCTCCCCTACCAAGGCCCTGCTCCCACCCTGTCTGGGTCTCAGGCGAGACTGAATGATGCCACATTCCCTCCTGGACGGGACCCTGACCTGTGGCTGGGCTCCCAGGCCTCAGCTTTTCACTGGCCTGCTGCGGCAGCTTACGCCTGTGTGGTGTGGTGGTGCCCTCAGACAGTCCCCAGGCCCCCCAAGAGTGCCCTGGCCAGACAGGGCAGACCAGCGTCCTAGCAGGACAGTTATGCCCTCAGCTGCCCCATCTCAGGCCACAGTGTCCTGTGTTGGGACCTGGGGAGCTCAAGGTACACGGACGCAGGCCTTTGCCCATGCCCAGATAAACAGCTCTCACCCTCCCTGCCCGAAATCTGCCCGATGCGAACCCCCCATTACCACATGTGGGCCCCACGCAGAAAGAAGACATCCTGTGTCGCTGGCATTCTCCCTCACCGCCCCCCTGGGGTCCTTGGGCACCCCCACCCCAGGGGAGCAGCGGGGCAAGCCCTCCCCCGCCTTGCCGGGCACACCGGACGAGCGGTCCCAGTGAGGCCCGGTGAGGCCCAGCCTGTCCCTTCCACGTGGCCTGGGGCCCCTGGGATGCCATCGGCTCCACAGGCTGCCAGAGGCCCCCAGACCCCCCGCCGCACAGCAGAGAATGATTAGCTAGCTAACCGCCAAGCCAGGGAACTGCGGCCGCATTTGGAAAGCATAGCCCTAAAATACCCCGAATAGGAAGCCTCACGGGCACCCCCCGGGGAGGCAGTGAGCCCCTCTTCGTTCCGCACGGAGGCAGGCAGGGTCACGGCCAGGGCTCCCAGGGACCGAAGCCAGGGCTGTGGGGTACAGTCGCTGTCCTGCCGTCTCCCCCACACCGCGGGGTCGGCTTGTGCTGAGCGTCTGTGTTGCTGACCAAGCCCAGGCTCCTCATCTGAGCTGTGATGAGCAATTCCCTCTTGTCGTGAGCCTTACTGGAAGCCCTAAGGGCGGTGAGGGCAGAGGGAGAGAGGACAGCCTTCCGCAGGACCCTGGCACCTCCCAGGCTGGGCAGCCTGACTCCATCCTGCAGCTGTGGCCTCCATGGGCCACACCGGGGTGGTCAGCCCTGACACCCAGCCCCAGAGTGGCCTCTCAGGTGGGAAGACACGGCTCCAGTCTCCCAGCCAGCATCTGGATTTACCTGCTGGGGACCCCGTGGGGACCAGAGGCCCCGGGCACGAGGCAGGGAGACACAGTAGAGCCTTGGGTGCAGAGGGGGTGCACACGGGGGAGGGGTGTGGAGGGTGCATGGGGGGGCAGCCCATGTCCGGCTCACTGACTACACGCGCCCCCACTAGGGGCTTGGCCACTCTGAGCCCCTGCACCTGGTATGTGGGGGCTCGACCCCAAACCCTTCCCCCACGACAGGACGTGGGTAGCGCGGGTCCAGGTCCGGCTCTCCCTCGCACGTCCTGGGCCGCCTCGCACAGCGCGTGGGGCACGGGGGCTGGTGCATACACGTGGCCCGACCCTGGCCTGTGGCGGGCTGGCCTCCGGGGGGGCCTGACTCGGGAGAATGCTGCCCCCTGAGCAGGCTCCCCCCACCCGCACGTCACCCCCGGATCGCACTCACCAGCAACGCCAAGAGGGCCCCGGGACCAGGGAGCCAGGCGGTGGCTGATGTCCTCAGGCGCGGCCAGGAGCCAGGTCAGTGACAGCGGCACCCTGAACCACTGGCTCACAGGTGCCCAGGCCGGCCCTGCGCCCTCAGGCAGCGGAGTCACACTGGGTGGGGCCGTCTGCACAGTTTCGAAAAGAAGTCCATTACCTTTAATTAGTACAAATGTAATCAATTTTAATTAGTTTTAGCTAATGTTAAACCTTTAATTAGTTAAAAACCAGGGTGTTCACACAAAAATGTCAGATTTCAGCCTTCTTTTGAGAAGTCGGCCGCACCAGCAACACCAGCCTGCCTCCCGGTGGGAAGAGCAGTGGTCAGCTGGACAGAACAGAGGCCAGGTGGGATGGGGGCGGGGCCTGAAGGAGGTCTGGGCAGTGGGGAGCCGGGGGCCCTGGGCAGTGAGGGGGCCCTGAGGGAGAGAGGGGCCCTGCGGGAGACGGGGGGCCCTGAGGAGGGGCCCTGGGGGAGACGGGGGGCCCCGAGGAGTGGCAGACTGGGGGTTCCCGGGGGAGATCGGGGGCCCTGGTTCCCCAGGCTCCATCCAGACTCCCGCCTCCCCGTTTCCTGGCGTCCCTGCATCTGGGGAGGCTACAGTCTTGGGGAGGGCCCATTATTTCCATCTGGGGTGGGTCCATGTGCTCTGTTTAGGCAGTACCCCCACAGACCAAGGGCCATGAGCGCCCCCAGGTGACTGCCCTGGGGCAGCGGCCGCCCTCCTCTGGGGACACCTGTCCTGCTCCCTCTCCTCAGGGAAGCCAGGTTGAAGCCCGAAGGGATGCTGCCAGTGGCCACCCAGGTCCTCACGCCCCTCTTTCCACGCCTCTGTGTCCCCCCGCTTAGCAGCACCTCGTGCTTCATGGTTCTGACCCACGACCTGTGCCGCTGCCTTGGACACGGGGCCCCCTGCCCACACGAGAGCAGAAGCGTCAGAGTTCGCTGATTCGCACTGAAACATACCCGCTTCCCGTCAGCCCCCAAACAGCCGCGGGGCAGCATGGAAGCGTCGGTCGTCCCCATCGGGGCTGGCCAGGTTCCACGGGGCTCCCCTGGAGGCGGGCAGAGGTGGGGCGGCATGGGAACCGCACCCCTGCCTGGCTTTCTCCCCCTCCCTGACCTCTTCCGTCTCCCCCATCCTGGCCGTGCCAAGGTCAGGGGTGCAGTGACCCTCAGGGTCAGCAGGAGCCGTAGAACCTGCCGTCTCAGGAGTCAGCGTGTGGCCGGGTCCCAAGCTGGGCACCCTCACCCTCGGGTCCACGCACTGCCTGGCACATCCATCCCCTGTCGGCCCAGGGTACCCGAAGGGCAGAAGGCTGGTCCACGTCGGTCCCAGAGCTGGAGGGCAGGTGAGGGCCATGTAGGACTCGGGGGCTGGGCTTTTCCCATCTCACCTGTCCCTGCAAAATCTGCCGCCCACTGACCCCTCCACCAACAGAGCCGAGCCAGTGGCCACTGCCACCAGGCTCTAGCCTCGAGGTCTGTGACCCCCACCGCGGGGCGCCTGCTCAGGGGGCACCAACACAGCCAGAGCCCGCCGGGGTGCCAGCCCTGCATGTGGGTGGCAGCCCATCGGAGCAGCGTGAGCCCAGTCCACTCCCCTCCCTGCACTTGGGGAGGGACGTGGCGCTGGGCCCCGCAGCCGTCAGAGCATTCCCTGCTGGTCACTCCATGCCACCCTCCCTGCCCTTGACGGAGCCCACACTGAAAGGCAGGGGTGTGGTCACGTGCCCTTCCGGGCCCTGCGAGCTCGCCTCTTCCCGCCACCATGCCCAGTCCCCACCTGCCCACCCACTTGCCAGCTCAGCGACGGCTCTCAGGATCCAAAGGGCAGCACTGTGTTGTTGCCCAAGGAAGTGGGACGTGACGCCAGGAGCCGCCTGCCACCTGGTGGCCACGTACCCAGCCCGGGCGCATCTTCACAGCATGGCATCCAGAAAAAGGAGTAAAAGAACAGTGTCTGCAGGAGAGGACAGAGCCACTGACAAATGTAAAATGAGTCAATAACAGGATACAACATTTTGGGAACATAAAACCACGGAACAGCCCTATACACCCTGAATTTGTGATGACGGTCCTTCTGCAGAAAGAGGAGGCTGGACCAGGGGTGCTGGCTCCCTGGGTTTTCTGTTACAAAAGGGGAAACAAAGCCTAATGTTAGGACTTGATAAATCTGGATGGGAGGTTAAAAGTAAAATAAAAGGTAAAAATACCCCAAACACTAAGAAAAAGGTTCACCTATCACGTTGTCTGTTAACAGTACAATAGTAGAAAAATTAATTGCCTGGCACACTGATGGCAGCCAGAGGTGAGAGAAGCCAAGTGTCCCCTGGCTGATGAGCGGGAAACAAAATGTGGTCCAGGGGTGCAATGGGGTCTGTGCAGCCTTGCACAGGAAGGAAATCCCAGCCCCAGCTACAGCCTGGATGCACCGGGAGGACATCACGCTCAGGGACCACACACAGAAGGACAAACCCTGTGTGGTTCCACCTCTGTGAGGCCCCTGGAGCGGTCAGCTGCAGAGGTCGTGAGCAGCGGGTGGGCACCAGGGCGGCGGGGGCAGGGGGGCTGCATTCTGGGAAGACAGAAAACCCCATGGTTCCCAACAGCGTGAGTGAAGTGGCTAACTCCATAAATTTCATGCTATATGTCTTTTGCCATAATTTATAAAATGATAATAGCGAGGCCCAGGCTGTGGATGTGATGGTGGCCCCGCCGGTCGCGGGGGGGGGATGGCTGGGGACAGTGGGTGTGCAGCCCGGGAGCAGCCCGGCTGGAGCTCGTCTGGGACCCCGTCCTGGGGACATCCTCCTGGGGAAGCAGGAGTACTCGCTGCAGACACATTCGTTATAACCCGACACGGTCCCATGTCGCGGACATCTCTGAAATGGGTGGTGCCCCTTGTCCTCGTAGGCAGCAGGAAGAACCAGGGACACCCTCCAAAGGAACGGACCCACGGCCCTCACCGGCCACCGCTGGGGGTCCGCCCCCACCTCCCTCTTGGGGAGGCAGCACCCACTTCCGGGCGGTCTCCCCTGCCCTCCAACCAGGAGATACCCAGCCCCAGCCTCTGGGTCGGGGTCAGCGTTTACTCCCATGGTCGGGAGGTCCTCCCGGGGCCAGTACATGGCGAATTTGGGACAATCTGTCTGCTTGGTTTTTCTGGGAGTAAAAGAGCTTTTATTGCTCAGGGTCTTGAGTATTTTGTGTGCTTTGTGGAGCATCCTCCTGCTACCCAGACCCGGGAGCAGGGCAGGCGGAGGGGCAGACGCATCTGCCTGCGTCAGGCAGAGCCCAGGGGCCGGGGACATGCTCAGCCTAGGCCTGGCTCCCCGGACAGAGCAGGGGACCCGCACAGGGCTCAGCGAGGGGGCTGGGGAATGGTGCCTCAGCGCTGGCGCAGGCCGGTTCTGCTCCAGGAGCCTGCTCTGGGCAAGGCACATCCTCCTGTCCTCACCCAGGAGCCTCCGGAGGGCCTGCCTGCAGGGGTCTCTGCACATTCCAGGGCCGAACTCCAAGCAGGAGGCCGGTCCTCCCCAGCTGTGCTCCCTGGGGGGCCGTGACAGCCTGTCTCCAAGTGAGGACCAACAGCAGCTTGAAATGGGTGATGTGCCTGACTTACAAGCAGAATTTGTACAACTCTTGACCTGTGTTGTCTCTTGTGGTCGCCATGAGCCACACATGGTATTTAAATTAAAATTAGGAAAGTTAAGAATGCGGTTGGTAGCTGAATTTCTAGCGCTCAGGAGTGGGTGGCTGGCAGGCGGCATCTCCGTCTGTGCTGGGCGAAAACAGCAGAAAATTTCCCAACCTCGGGTGGGCAATTATTTCTCAGGAAACATCAAGCAATATTCACAAAAGGGAAAGTGGACACACTGGACTTCATCAAAATCAAGCCTTCAGCTCTGCCAGCATGACCCCCAGCAGACGGAAGGACCAACCATGCCCGGGAGAAAACATTCATTCCATGCAGCTAACCTAGAACTTGTGTCAGAATCCGTAACTCACCTTAAAACTCACAGAAAAGAAGACCAATAACCCAGTTTTTAAACTATGCCGAAGATTTGAGCAGACGTGGAACAAAGACATACAAACAACTAATGAGCACAGGAGGATATGCTTGACGTCGGGATCACTTGTCATCGAGGCGGGAGACACCGTATCGCTCCCACTGGGAAGGTTAACGTTTAAAGGGCTGACGATGCTAAGTGTTGGCGAGCACACGGACCGTCCGATGGTCGGATCTTGGAAAACAGTGGGGCAGTTTCCTGCAAAGTTAAACTCGCACCTACAGGTGGACCCCACAGTCCACTCCTGGGCAGCTACTCATGGGAAGTGATAACTTACATTCACACGAAAACTTGGGCACAGATGCTTGTTGCATTTTTATTTATAATGGCTGAACCTGGAACAACCCAAACGTCCATCAAGGAATGAAGGATAAACATGTGGTATATCCATACGTGGAAACTGCCTGAAGAATAGGAAAGAGCGGCCGGGGGAGGCTGAGGCCATCCTGTGCGAATCCCTCCACCAGAAAACCGTCCTGGCAGGAGGCGGCTGAGCGCGTGCCTGAGGCCCCGCGGGAGGACCGCCTGGCGGAGGCTCTCCGGATGGCGATGTTGTGTGTCTAGATGGCGTACGATGAAGGGGTGTGTTGTCGGAACATATTGAACTGCAGACGTTCAATGGGTGCAATTTATTGCACATGAATTGCACCCCCAATAAAATTGATTTCTTGAAAGTCTGCAGTGAGGCAAGCGGGAAAAGGCAGGTTGAGCGCGGGCCTCCCCCTTCTTCCTCTCTCCTGTCCCGCTCTGGTGGTGCAGATCTGGGCGGGCGGGGCGCTCCCAGAGGCTGGGGCAGAGGCCATAGGTGTTGGGGACGGGCTGCCCAGGCCCTCCCTGCCAGGAAGGAGGTGAAGTGGACAGAGCGCTGGCCTCTGGCCCTTGGTCACAGGTCAGACACAGTGCCCTGGAGCCGTGGGGTGGTGACACAGGTCAGGTGTGCTCTGGGCTGGGGCACACCCATGGCCACACAGACCTCCCTGTGACTTGCAAACACCTCCCACGGAGACCCCCTCCCCGACTGCAGACCCCCACCCGCCATCCTCCTGCACTGCAGGGTATGTCTCTCCCTGGGCCCCAGGTTGATGATGCACTCGGACCAGGAATGGCCAGAGTGACCAGCATCCACCTGAGTCCTGACCCCTCCTGGCTCCTGGACCCCAACCAAGTGGCAGCCAGGGGTCCCCATCCATCCTCCCACGTGCAGGACCCCATTGTTGGTGTTACTGCCCCATAGAAGTCACATTTCTGGATATGAAGACTGATTTCTTGTGGGAACTTCCTTCACTACTTTGTCCTATTTAGTCTTAGAAATGAACTTGAACATTTATTTGCCAAGTTTCAAAAAACCAAAAGTTCCCCCTGAGACCTAGGGCAGAAATACAGTAAATGGAGGGTGGGGGGTGCAGATCTGGGCAGCACTGACCTCTTAGTGATCTGAGGGTTCCCCAAGGGCCACGAGGAGCACCCCCGGCCCAGGGGCATGGGGTGGCGGTCCCCAGACCCCCCCAGATGGTGAGCACCTCCCTCAGTGCTTACCAGGGACCCCATTTTCATTGTATCTCATGGTCAAATTGCTGAGAGAATTCTCTATGCCATGTTTTTTTTTTCATTTTTATTTTTTGAGGAACCATATTTTGGACTTAAAAAAGTCAAGTTTTATTTGCTTTCCCATGAATGCATTTTCTCTTCTCTCCCACCGCTTCATTCTGTTTCACTTTCTCTTGTTCACCCTGTTGTTCCATTCTGGTTTCTGAGTTAACTGCTATGTTGCTTTAATTTTAATAATAGAACCAAGAAAAAATGAAACAAAAGCATCCAACAGTGAATTTTCCTCTGAGGCCCTTGGGCGAGGTCCTGTGGGAGTCTGTGTCGTGTCCCAGCGGCCACTGGTCTATAAATAGAAGTGGTGTTAGCTCCAACTTCCTCTCTGACTCATTGGGAAGAGTGGCTGCTGACTTCTCTAACTGGTGGGGTCCTCACGCACCTTGTGTCTCACTAACATCTGGTTTTATAGGATGAAGATGTGACAATGCAGCCCAAGTGATTTTCATTTTTGAAATCATTTCCAGCTTCAATTTGCAGCTTGGTTTGGGGTCATCTTTTATATTTTTTCATGGGAATTTGGGGGAAAATGTGTATTCTCTCTATGCATACTGCATCTTATAAAAAAAAGTTAAAAACAAAATTCAACTGAGTAATTTGAAGATCTAATTGGCTTTATTCAGCAATTCATGACTTGGACAGCATCCCATCCCGCAGATGGAAGGGAGCTCCAAGAAGTAGTACAAGAAGGAAGGTTTTTATAGGCAAAGCGGGGGAGGGGGAACGAGGAAGTTAAGGGTGGATAATTTCAGGCAAGGTCACCTTCCCTTAGGGACGCAGGGGTCTTATCAGGCAGATTACCTTTTACCTTATCAGGAAGATTAGTGCTGACCAGGAAATTCCGAACTGATTGGTTTAAAATTCCACTCCGGGAGAGGCTAAAACTACAATTAGGTCAGGTGTTAAGTGTTGGCGGCGCTTAGCACAAATGATTCCATTTGGGGGCCTGTTTCTTTTTAACAACAAAATCTAAACCGCGGATAGTGGGATTTAAGTCTCTAATATTGCCATCAAGCATTCCCTGTGGTCTACCCAAGTCTGCCACGAAAGGACTGACATCCCCTCCGTGGCATGTTCTCCTTGCACACCCACAGACTCAGTTTCTGTGTTTCAGTGCGATGCTGTGTGACTGCCGGAAGGCTCTGCGCACGTGGGCTTTATGGATGTAACATGCTCTCCTTGCCCACTTCACTTTTTTTTACCCCGAATTCCACTTTCTCGGGTGTTAGTACTATGACACACCCGCCCTCACGGCACCTGTGCCCTTCCTGCAAGCTTTCCCATCACTTTGCTGCGGGGGTGTCCTTTGTGGATTCTGCTTTTCAACATGAAGGCAGTCCACCCCATTTTGCTGACCCCCGTCCCAGCCAGCCCTGCCCATGTCATTCTGTGAGGCAGCTGTCCCGGGCACTGGTGGCTTCCCCGGACGAGCCAGGGCCCTGGAGGACAAGTCCGACGGCTGCATCAGCCCTGGACAGCACCTCCTGACCATGGGTTAGAACCAGAGCTTGGCCACATGTCCTCGAAGCTTCAGGGCCTGAACCATCCAGTGCTTGGGGGAGCCCCCCGCCAGAGGGAGGAGCATGTCATTGGCGGGACATCCAAGCCGCCACCCTGCCCCCTCCCCAGCCGTGGGAAAAGGTTTCCCAACCAGACAACCTGAGTGGATTCTCTCAGCCGACCCACCCACCTGCTGCAGGGATGGGGTCAGGCAGTTCGCCCAACCTTGTGGACTGCACCACACCTCTTTCCTCAAGTTCAGAAGAGTACATCTGCTGGCTCATTGCCTTCTTAGCAGGTTTTTTTCCCTTTAAATTATAAGGCTGGGGGGCGCCTGGGTGGCTCAGTCGTTAAGTGTCTGCCTTCAGCTCAGGTCATGATCCCAAGGGTCCTGCGATCGAGCCCCGCATCGGGCTCCCTGCTCCGCGGGAAGCCTGCTTCTCCCTCTCCCACCCCCCCTGCTGTGTTCCCTCTCTCGCTGTGTCTCTCTCTGTCAAATAAATAAAATCTTAAAAAAAATTAAATTACAAGGCTGGTAATATCCTGCCTGTGATCTTGCTGTATAACTTTGCAATATGTCACCACTGGGGGAACCAGGTGAAGGGGCACTGACTCTGTGTTATTTCTTACAACCGCAAATGAATTTACAGTGATCTCAAAATAAAAAAAATTTACCACAAAAAAGAAGGCTGATAGAATATATAATTAAAGAAATAGCTACCCAGAAGTTAAAATTTTAGACTATGCAGTGGAGAGTACTTTATTTTGCTGCATGCAGGGAAACTGTTTACATACCTCCCTTGGAGAAGCCCTGAAATCGGAGCTCTCCCGCACCGCCCCTCCTTACAGACCCTCACTTTACTACCCCAGCGAGGGGGGGTGGGGGAGTCTTCTCCTGCCCCCGCAACAAACCAGCCAATCAGAAACAGCCACAGCCCAGCCAATCAGAAACCACCAGCACCGGGCCCTTCCTTTCCTCGGATCGATTTTCCTTCAAAGCAGCCTCTCCCACGTTCCTCCTTTTGCTCCGTAGAGCGACTCTCCTATGTTCTCTGGATCTGCCTGTGGTGTTATAACTTGCACGTCCTGAATTTCAATTTTTCTGCTGTTCTCAAACAAACCCATTTTGCCGGTTGTTGCCGCTTTGTTACAATGCTTTTGTAACAAACACCCCAAACTCAGGAGTCAGCAGCAGAAAGCATTCTTTCCTGTCCACCCATCTGAGGGGGGCCTGGAGAGGGGCCTGTCCGGGTGCCCTCTGGGCTGCAGTGGGGTCCTGCTCCTCTCTGAAGGCTCTCGTCCTCCTCGGACTGGTGGCCACCGTGCCACCTTCTCAGAGCTGGAGGCGATGGGCCTGCCAGGGGTGCGCGTGCGGGGGAGTGGGGCGGGGCACTGGCTGTCACTGCCCCACGTCGGACACCTGCTGGTCCCTTCCCGGGAGTGCATCCCACGGGGCGGCTGCCAGGTCCCTGGGCATGACTCCTTCTGCTCTGTCCAGGCAGACCTGGTCATTCCTTTGTCTTTGCGTCCCCCCAGATGAATGGGGCCTCGGTCGTGCCCTTGGGCATTGGGCTTTTGCCGGCCCCACCCCGGGGGCCGTCTCTGGGGGGGACGGCTGGCAGCCAGTCTCCCCATCCTCCCCTCCCCCATGAAAGTTAAAGGTAAACCTCAGCCAAGCGGAGTCTGGAGGCTGGGAGGGGGCCCTGCCACCCAACCCCAATCACAGGAAGACCCCACAGAGGAACCCTCTGCAGGAGAGGATCACCCGCGACAGGCCCCAACAGCGGAAGTTCACGGAATCTCCTACAAGACGTCAGCCACCCCTGCAGCTCGGCCATCGGGAAACTGAGAAACCGAGAAACCCTCATCACCCTGAACTCTTGCTTTTCTCCGGTAGACTTCCGTTCAAAACAACCCCTCCCAACTTCCTCCTTCTTCCCCATAAAATATGTCCCTCTTCTTTGTTGGACTTGCCAGAGCTTGCGTGTCCCAAACGGCAGTTTGCTGCCATTCCTAGATCAACTCATTTGTGCTGATAAAATAACTGGCTGTTTTATTTTTAAGGTTAACACCTCCTTCTGCATGCTTCCGGTGGGCTGTGGGAACTGCAACTTCTCCCCAATTCGATTTCCTTCCTGGGAGCCTGGGATGGGTAGAGGAAGGTGGGAGCCAGGGGGCCAGACCTGACCTCCCCTCCCCTCCCCGGGGCTTCCGGGGTTCCTGGCTTCCCCTCCACCCCCAACCACAGCCCGGCTGGTTCTTTGTCAGTCTTGAGAGCTGACTGGGGGACCTGACTGGGACTCAGGCACTGGGTGCATTTGGGTAGGGGGCTTGCTGTGACCCCAAGAGCAGGTGTCTGTGCCTTGTTGGTGTGGTAGGCAGCCACCAGACCCAATGTGGGTCAGAGTGAATCCTACAGGTTGGCGCTGCGTGGGGGGAGGGGAAGTTCGTCAAAACCCCCACAGTTCTGTCCTGCCTGGCACAGTGACCAATGTCCCTGGCTTAAGCTTGCGGGTTAGCCAGAAAAGGAACGTTTAAAATGAGCCAAAAAGAAAAATCACATGAACTTCTAGCCTGGGAGGGCAGGCAGCATTAAGCCCCAGCAGGGGTCAGGGGCCGGCACTCCTCCAAGAGGCGGTCACAGCTGGAAAGGGGGCAGGAGTGCCTCCCTCCAGGACTTCTGCGAGCTGCAGCCTGGGCCAGTAGGTGTGGGTAGGTTCCAGTGGGCTCTGGAAGGGGCCTCCCAGTGGGGGCTGCATGAGGGGGTGGTCCAATTGGGGTTCTGGGAGGAGTGGTTCAGTGGCGGCTTCAGAGGAGCGTGGGAGGGGACAGGGGAACAGACCAGGGGGCTGCATGGGGGGCGGGGGGGGGCAATCCAGTAGAGGCTCCCGGTGAGGTGGGGGTCAGAGGGACGGCCCAGAGGCGCTGCTGCGAGGGAACGGATGGTCCAGTGGGGGCCGCATGGGGGCGGAGCGGGGAGAGGACAGTCCAGTGGAGGCTGCGGGCGAAGGAGGGGCAAGGGGATGGTCCATAAGGGGTTCGGAACGGGGGGGGGGGCAGGGGGACGGTCCAGTGGGGGCTACAGCCCGGGGGCGGGGGAGGCGGTCCAGTGGGGGCTGCATGGGGGTGGGGGAGGGGAGCGAGGGACAGTCTAGTGGCGGCTGCGGGCCGAGTGGTGCGGCAGATGGACGACCCAGCGGGGGACTGGGGCGTGGCGGGGGTGAGGAGACAGTCGAGAGGTGGCTGCGGAGGGGGCGGTATCGGGAGGGGCAGTCCAGTGGGGGCTGAGGCCGGGCCCGCAGACGCTCCGGGGGTGCGCCTGGGCCCTCACTGCGGCGCCCCCGCCCGCGCCACGAGGCGGCCGCGTGACCGGGGAGCGGCGAGGGGGCGGGCCGGCGCGGGGCGAGCGCGGGCCGTGCAGCCTGTGCTCGGGCGGGGGCGTGGTCGGGGGGCGTGGCCGGGGGCGGGGCTCCACCGCCTTTCCCGGCAGCGCCCGCGGCCACGGGTCACTGTGTGTGCCGGGACGGCGCGTGCGCCCGGTTCTGGTGGGTCCCCGGCCCCCGCCACCAACGCGCCCCGAGGAGCGGACGCCGGCCGCCCAGATATTTCGCGACGCGAGCGCTGGGGGCAGCGGGGTGAGTGTGAGGTCACGGGCCGGGGACTGGGGGGTGCATGCATAAGGCGTGGGCACTGTCCGCGCGTGCAGGGCGCGCCTAGGGCGCACGGTGACCCGCTCCTCCCAGCGGTGGCCGTGGATCCCGCGTGCAGCGCGGCACCCTCGCCTCCGCCCGTGTAGGAGGGACTCGGGCTTCGCTCGCCAGCAGCCTACTGCTCCCCCGCCGCATTTCTCCCCGGTGCTCGCGGTGCGCGCACGCTCAGAACCCCCGGCGCGGCGGACTCACCTCCTGTCACTTCCGCACGGTCCGGGTAGTCGGGGTCTGAGCGCCGCCCCGACCCTCGCCCATCACCCTCGGACTCCGGGTCCCTTACGCGGGATGGATAGGACCGCGTGCACTCGGTGCTGGCCCCCCCGCCCCGGCACCGTGCCCCGGCAGAACCACCCTGGCGCACGTGATCCTCCGGCGGGAAGGCGGGCGGCGGGGGATTCCCCAGCCACCCACGCGACCGGGTGGGCCCTTGACGCGCCTCCCAGTCCCGTGCCAGGCCCTTCGTTCGTCTCCCAACCTAGAGCTCTGTAGGTGTAGACTGACTTCATTTTTTGGAGGAGCGGTTGGAGCAGAGAGTGCTGGAGAGTGTCTGATAACTTGGGCAACTGTGCTTGCAGTCCTTTCCTGAGTGGACCCAACATATCTGCAAGAGGAAACTGTCCCCAAAGATCCTGTGTGCTTTCCCCGGCCAAACACTTGTCCTGGAGAGTCCAGGGTTGTGGCGCAGGCACGCTCGGTGTGTTCCTGGGGTTCTTTACTATGTCGGGGTGCCCAGCCCCAGCCGGCCTGGTCTGAGTACAAGTTAGAATCCAAGCCAGCTGAGAAATCCAGAGTGCATCTAGAAAAAGCTGTTTTCCATTCCGCTTAAAGTGCAGGTGGGATTTTGGAGCTGCCACCCGGTTCCCTGCAAAGTGACAGGTGTTTGCTCTCTGCAAGGGAGCCTGGAGGGCCCAACTGCAGCCCCGATGGAATCAGCAGAGCCAGAACTTTCTGGCCTCAGGGAACTGCCTCCCTCTGCAGGTCTGGGAGCCCAGAGCCCATGCCTGAGGGTTCCCGGATGGTGTCTCCCCCTGCTGCCTCTGGCTAGACTGCATTGCTCATTGTCTGCATTCTCCTGACTTGGTGCTGCTAATTCCTTTATTTTTGAGGGGGCTTTGGTGGATGTTAATAACGCCAGATATTACAGTCATTGGTGCTGGGCAAAGGTGATCAACACCTCCCGGGTGTTTTAAACTTGTGGGTTGAGTGTCTACAGCAGTGATGGCCAGGGGGCTTAATTTTACTCTTTGGGACAGGGAACTGTGAAGTGATTTGGGGGGAGGGTGCAAGGGTTTTTCGTTTTTACTAAGAATGTAATGAACCTTCCTTGTTAACCTGGAAGAGTAGTAGCTGGTTTAAAATACAAAACAAGACAGGTGGTGTTGGGTTTTGTTTTGGTTTTGGGTCTCCAGGCTAACTAGGTTCTGGAGGGACAGAGCCAGTAGTAGCAGCTGGTGCTGCATACTTCCCCCCAGGACAGGTGCTGGAGGGTTGCGAGGAGGGGTCCCTGTGGGAACTGTTAGAACCTTCCCTGGGAGGCACGTGATGGGGTCCTCGGTTCTCTCCCTTGACTCTCTTGGTCGGCCGGTATTTCCTTCGCTTGCCCTGAAGAGGCCTGAGGTTGCATGGTGCCGGGCTGGGGTCAGCACACTTGCAGTCCAGGCCAGTCCTCCTGCCGGCCACCTGCCCTGAGCTTGGGCATCTCATTTGCTTTCTGGGCTGTTTCCGCACCTGTGAGTGTGTGAGGGGGTCTCGCCACCTTCCCTTCCTGGAGGGTGAGCCTGGGAAGGGCCTCTGTGTTTAGAAGAGCAGTCTCTGTTTTTGAGAGAGGACTTTGAGTCACGGCCGTAGTGGCTGGCCTCCTGTCAGGGCTGGCGATTACACCCAGCTCAGGTGAGTTGAATCAACGGACCCGAGGCAGACAAAGTCCACTCCGAATGCAGGCAGGGCCCCAGCCTCGCTGGCTGAGACGGCTGGCTTCTGGGTCTGTTGGCCCTTTTCTTCGAACCTGAGTCCCTGGCATGGGTGGCCTCTCCTGGGGAAGCTGAGTGACGGCCGAGGCTGCCTGCCGTGCCCCGGGCTCGCAAACACACTGCTGCCGGGGTGCTCTACATTTTTTCCGTAGCAGCCCCTCTTAAAAATGGATTTCCAATCAGACTCTGGAGTTTCGGCCCCTGTTTCTGTGTGGCAGCCAGTGCTCCAGCATGGGGCCAAGCTACTCCCCATGACCCTGTCCTCCTGCCTGGCTCAACTTGAGTGACCCGTTGTCCAGCCTGTTTCAGAAGTCTTTGGAAGTGCGCGTGCAACGGTGTTGACAGAAGTGTGGAAGATGCGCCTCAAAGGTGCACATTCCAGAGTGGACACAGGCCTTGTGTCCCCAGGTGTCTTCTTGTTCAGATGAACTTTCTCACTAACCACCTCACGTGGGCTCTTGCTGTAGCCCTGCAGTGCTAGCAGCCCCTCAGGGCCGGCCCATCCTTTCTTCTGGGAGACCACTGGGGGCACTTGAGCTGGGAGGGGTGACCAGAGGTCTGCTTTGCCACATGTGCCATGCCGTGGGACCTCTCATCTCGGGAATCTGGGAGCTGTCCATGAAGGGGAGGTCCAGGACTGTGACCCTCCCCCCACCCCAGTTGGAGGAGGGGCAGGTTTTCTAAGCAACACTCAGGAAGGATGTCTGAAGCAGAAATGCAGGTGCCCAAGTTTGAAGGGTCTGGTACCTTCTGTGCTTCTCGGCATTTTCTCTGCCATTTCTGGCATGGGGCGGGGTGAGGTCCGGCCAGCCGTGGGGCAGTAAACGTGCTATTTATCCAGGGTGAGCATCTCCATTCATGATTTTGGAGAGCGGGTCCTGGGCGCCCGGGCTGAGGAGAGCTTGAGTTCCCCTTTCTGGTGCCCGTGCAGTGGGCCGGAGGCCACGCTGCTCTTCCGAGGAGACTCCTGCTGGGAACTGGAGACCTCAGGTGCACTGGCCCTGCGGGGGAGCCCCACGCCTGCGAATGGGCCACAAGTGTAGAGTGAACACAGTGTGGTCCCCAGAGGCGAGATGTGTGTGTGGGACACAGCCCAGGGCTCAGTGAGCTGGGGAACACAGGGGCCCTTAGCATCATGTGATCAAAGAACAGGTGGCCCCAGAGGCTTGGGCTTCTCCCCAGCAGCGGGGGAGGCCTCGCCTTTGCTCCCACCATTATGAAATGTGTGGGGGGCTGGAGGACTGGGGGGCTGGGGGATTAGGTCGTCCAGCTTGCCCCCTGCACGGGGCAGTGTTCCCAAGTTGCAGGGATGGAGCTGGGGGGTGGGCTGGGAGGGAAGGGCCCCCAGGAGTCCTCCTGGGTCACAACAGAGGTTGACCAGCCTCAAACCCCAGAAGGACAGGCATGCAGGGAGCTGCCCCAGGTGCTGGCCAGGGAGCTCACAGGGTAGGGGGAGTGTCTGCAGAGACAGGGACATTGCAGACACTCCCCCTACCTCTGTTGTGACCCTGGAGGACTCCTGGGGGCCCTTCTGAGCAGTGGTTGGGGGCGGGCTTGCCATGCTCCCTGGGAATACTGGATGTGGAGCTCTGCGTGTCCAGCCAGGAACCCTGAGGCAGTGTCTCCCGGGGGTCCTGTGCTCTTTCGCCGGCTCCGGCATGCCTGTGGGACGTGTTAGGATGCAGAGTCCTGGGCCGTGACCCAGACCTTCAGATAGCTGCGTAGGGCAGAGCCCAGAGCTGGAGTTTCTGACGGTTCTCGGTATAGTGTAAGAAGCACTCCTCCTCGGGTTCGGAAGCTGTAGGAGTCCAGGATACAGAACAGAAAACATTTGTGTGTTTGGTGCTGGCGTTTGAAGCTTCCGCCATCGCCCCACGATTCAGGGTACACCAGGTAAGGGAAGCTCCCATTGCTTCTGGAGATGACACCTTTTGAACAGGAGGGCCGAGTCCTCAGGCTCCTGAGGTTGGAGGTGGGGGGTGGGGTGGGGTGGGGACCCACTCCCGGGGACCCTGGGCTTAGGTGGATTCTTGGCTGTTCACCCCATGCTGGAGAGCTTTAGCTGGGTGGGTGTGGGGTTGCCTTGGCATCTAGGGAGTGTACCTGGGAGTGGGAAGGTGAGCTTGAGGGGAGTCTTCGGGCTGGCGGTGCACCCTGAGGTGTGAGTGGTTCTGGCTGTGGCAGGCCCTGGGGCCCTCCCTTCCGTTTGTGCAAGCTCCCAGTGGGTTTGCAAAAGTGAGTACCAGAGTCTGTCCTCAGGAGCCCTTGGCCTGCGTCCCTGATTTGACAGTTTCCTGCAGGGGCCCCAGAAGGTGGGAACAGTCCTGCTCATTGGGCCACAGTTCACTTTGCTGAGGCCCCAGGCCTGGTGTGAGGACTCCATCTGCCATCCATGGTCCTGGGTAGGGAGGGGGTCCTCTGCAGTCCCCTGGCTTTTCTGGGCCTCATCCTGGGAAGAGTGTGGGAGCACTTCCTGCTGGGACGCTCTCTGAGGTGCATGTGCTAGGAATCTGGTGGCTTTTCCTTGGGGTCCCTGGACCCGCCAAGCCCTGCAAGCTGGCCCCACATCTTGGGAACTTTTTGTGCCCACTGCTGGGAATTGGAGGGGGTTTCTCCACAGGTCCTCTTGGCACGGGCTTCACCTGACACAATTCATGGCTGCTTGCTTTTGACTTAACTCTTTAAAAAGGAACTTTGTATCAATGCCATAAATGCAGAAAACCAGTATCACTTGACATATAGAAACAGTAACAGAGATAAACAGTGGAAACATGCAAGTAGATCTGATCCCTGGCCCTCTCTGTTAGAATGGGTTTAGTGGGTTTTGGAAGGGTGCTGTTCACACCTGCATCAAAGGGAGCCTTCTGGACGGAGAGTTCTCCGCATGTGACCTAGTGGTCTGAGTAATGCTTCTTCTGGCTTTACCCAAAGTGCCCCTGGGTAAGGCTGCCCTTAGGGGACACAGGGCTGGACAGGGCCACCTGGCAGCTCACGCCTCTAGCTCCTTCTCTTTAGGGGAGCCTCAGGGGCTGCCAGGGTCATGAGCCTTAAGGTCTGGGCCTCTGTGCCATGTGGTCCCTTCGGTCACCTTGTCACCCCATCCCCGGAGGCTCCTGCCCTCCTCACCCACAGTCAGCTTTACCTGCAAACCCCATCTGCCACGTCCCCAGCCACGTCCCCAGCCTTGTGCATGGAGTCCCCCCACCTGAGATGGACAGGACGGCACTCCCAGGTTGCAGTTGGGGCCACCAGCCACCCTCGCTGTGGCCAGCTGTGTGCCTGGCGCCCCAGCAGGACTCTTCAGCTCATACGCTCTAAGCCATCTCGGGGCCAGGTGACCCTCTAGTAGCTCTAGCTGGGTGCGTGACACCAGCTGCACCCCTGGGACCTCTCCTGGGGAGGGATTCGTGCCCAGCCCATAGCCACAGCCACCCCACTGGGAGCTCCTGAGATGACTGTGCCTGAAAGCCTGGACTTCAAGTTGTGTTTGGTTTGAGTTGATTGATATTTAAGGAGACTCCGTGGGTGGTGGGGTGTGGGGTGCAACAACCCTGCTGGCTCCTGGAGGTGGTGACAGGCTAGGCCGCATGGGCCCCCTCCCCGTGTGGGTGTGGACGTTGAATCCTGACGACGTGAGAGAGCACTGGAGTGTCTGGGGAGGGGGGGGCGGTCTGAGGGCTGTTGGTGGGCTGCCCTGACCCTGGGCTCATCTTCCAGGAACATCATCGTCTTGTCCGGGGCGCCGGGGGGCCTGGGCAGCATGGTGCCCTCCAGCCAGGAGGCGGAGAAGCAGATGCCCGCAGAGCCGGGGCAGGACCTTGAGCTCAAGTCCTGGAGGTGTCTGGTGTTCTATCTGTGTTTCTACGGCTTCATGGCGCAGTTGCGGCCCGGGGAGAGCTTCATCACACCCTACCTCTTGGGCCCCGATAAGAACTTCACACGGGAACAGGTGCATGGGCACGGCCTGCGGGGGGGTGGGAGGGTGGGCATGGGTCTGCGGTTGGGGGGGGGTCTTGGGCACGGCCTGCGGGGGGGCGGGCGTGGGCAGGGGCACTCCCCAGCCTGAGAGCAGCGGAGCCTGCCAGGTTAGGTGGCTGTGTGGTGTGAGGGGTCCTGCCCCCTAGCCCCCAAAGGGGCACCTTCACACGAGGGCCAGACTCTGACTTCCTAACCAGGCCAAAGAGTGAGGGCAGCCGCAGAGGGGTCCTCATCCGCTGAGGGTCTGAGGGAAGAGTGTGGGGAATCGCAAGGGCTCACCTGGTGGGCAGGCTTGCTTCCAGCAGAGACCTAACAGCCATATGCCTGAAGAGAGGACCAAGGAATTTACTCCGTGGGGAGGACAAAGATCTGGTTGAAACTTGACTAGTAGCTTCTACCCTGGGGCCATAGAGGAGCGAAAGCAGCGACGGGTTTTATCCCTGGTGCTTTCCTTATCTGAAGAACAAAAGAGCCGAAGGGCTGTTGGTAGATAAAATGCACCGACAGGGACAGGCCTTCTGTCCAGGGCTTCTGTCCGAGCTCAGGTCCCCACCCCACTCCTGCCCCGGAGCCTGGCCCCAGGCTGGCTCTGCCTGTGCTCCCTGGCCCAGCTCAGCCCCCGCCCTCAGCCTCCCGTCCCCTCCAGCGTGTCCCTGGGTCCCACTGAGCTGCTGGATTTTTCTGGGAGGCCCTGCTTTTCTCTGAGAGGCTGACCCCTCCCCCTGGCAGACCTTGGAATTCTTAAGTCCTCTGGAGTTGCTGTGCAAATGAGGCCTGACCCTCAGGGGCCCTATGGGGTGGGGGTGGGGGCGCTGGCTTGTGTCTGACACCTGCAGGCGAGCGCGGGGTCTCCCCACCGCGCTGCCCGGGGACACTTGTCCACACCTGGTCAGGCTGCTCTGACCTCAGCACACTCTAGGGGCTGAACCGCAGGTTCCCCTCGTGCTTAGGCAGCGGCCAGTTTGTTGCCCCCGAGGGAAATGCTGCTTCAGGTGTCTAGGGCACAGCCGTGCGTGGGTCCGGTGCGCGGGCCTGGTGCGCAGGCTTGGACTCCCGTTCCAGTGGCTGGCTTCGCGCTTCCCTCGCCGGCCGCGGATTGGCACCGCCGAGTCTCTGCCCATCTGATAGCCGTCGGGAGCCAGCTTGCTGTCGGCGTGTATTCCTTTGGTGTGTGTTGCCCGGCCTGGCTGTCACCTGGCCGTCACCGTGCTTGCTGGGCCAGCCTCCACATCGTCCTGTGGGGCTGTCTGCCTCGGGCTTGCCCTGGGGGATCGGACTGCCTGTGTGTCACCTATTTTCCCGGTGCTGGTGCTCCAGCAGGACACAGTGGTCCCCTCACTGTGCTCATGGTGTCCTGTTACGGGGGTTTTAAGTGTTGGTCCCGCCAGACTGTCCTTCATGCTTCTTTGCTGAGGACGCCTGTCCTCCCTGCCTTAGCGAGTGCCTCGGGGAGGGGTCGGCTTGCTCTGTACCTTCAGGCGATGATTCCCTTACCTCACGCTGCCTGGGCTGAGTCCTGTGGGGCTGCGCCCACGGGGAGCCCCCATCCCGATCTGCGCCCAGCACTCCTCACAGGGCTGGCCCCACCTGTCGCCCGTCAGCGCTGGGATCAGGTGCCCTTCTTAGGGAAGGCCCCTGCCCTGCCCCTGCCCTGCCCTCAGGCGGGACCCAGCGCCCATCCAGGTGCTGCCAGCGATCGGGCTCTCGCGCTTGCTCCTGGATTTTGGGTCCCCTCGTCCCACTCCTGAGAACACACTCTCTGCATCCTTCCTGCCCTTCCCGTGGCTCTGGCCCCCACCCCAGTTGTCTTGGCTGCTCTGGGGCCCAGCCGAGCCTGCCCATTCAGAGAAGCAGCTGCCCTGAAGCCACCTGGATCCAGATCCGGGCGCGGTTCCCGGGTTTCGCCCGTCAGCCTGGACCTGGCCTGTCCACACACTAGGCTGTTGGGAAGGCATCCAGGCAACACTAGGCTCAGGCCAGTAGGAGGCTGTCCTTGTGCCAGTGCTGGGCCACTTGACGGATGTCACCTGCCCCAGGACTTTGTAGGTGCCCACTCCCTAGTACCTTCCGAGTGTGACATGGGTCAGCCCTTTGCCTGCCAAGCCCATTGAGGATGCAGGCGGGAGGAGGAAGGGAGGAGGAGGAAGAAGCAGGGGAGTGGGGGGAGGAGGAGAGGGGAGGAGAAGGAGGAAACGACTACACCGGCAAGGCTTCGAGGAGGAGGGGCTGTTGGGGGAGTGGTGGAAGGAGGGAGGAGGAGGAGGAAGCAGGGGAGTGGGGGGAGGAGGGGAGGTGGGGGGCCGGTTGGTCCTCCTGCCTCTCTGGCCCCTTGGGCTCTGGTGGCTCGCCATTTGTCCAGAGATGTCGTAACTGAGGGGCTACTTGATGCTCCTGGACACCACGCCCACTGTCTGGACCTCTGGACACAACCCTAGAAGCGCCGTCACTTGTCCGGGACCACCTGGGGCACCCCCTGGGCGGGCAGGGCTGCACACACCTGTGGGTGAGGGCCGAGGTGCTGGGGTCCACCCAGTCACCCAGAGGCTGGTAGGTGGTGGGCACAGCACAGCCCCACTGTTGACCCGAGGCTGCACTGCGGGCCTCGGTTTCTTTACGTGGGGCCTTGGAGCCCGCTAGCTCTTGGGGCTGAGGGCCGCCCGGGCTGGCTTAGGTGGTTCCGTGGCCCGAGTCACAGTTAGTGCCCTGAGTCAGTGGGTCCCCAGAGAGGCCGCGACCTCAGAGGGCCCAGCTGTGCCCACCCCGGAGGATCCGAGCCGTGGCCAGAGCCCCGTGGCAGGGTCTGGTGGGGTTGGGTACAGGGCTTCCCGCCTGATGGCCCTGTGGCCTGGGGCCCCGTGAGGCTGGCAGTGGGTGGCCTCACTCTGCACACAGGCGTGGCCCTCCTGTGGCCTCTCTGCTCCTGTCCCCTTTCCCTTGTGGTGTCTGCTCTGTGAAACCTGTTGCCAGAGGCCTTTGCCCCCGGGGCTGCCGCAGCTGTGTTGCCGTGAGCGTAAGTCGGTCACGCTGTCAGCGACAGGAGAAAGCACGTCACGTTCCCTCTCGTGAAAGCACACAGACCCGATCAGCACGCGTCACCGCGCCATTCGTGACCGTTCGCCAGGTGGTCCCGGCATTGCGTGGGCCGTGTCCTTACCGCGGGACGCCTGCACGGTCCCGACGGCGCTGAGCCTGTAGGACCTGGTAGCGCGGGGGGATGCGGACACCGTGACCCCGGTGTCACGGGCCTGCTGTCCCCCAGGTCACCAACGAGATCACGCCGGTGCTGTCTTACTGCTACCTGGTGGTGCTGGTGCCCGTGTTCCTGCTCACCGACTACCTGCGATACAAGCCGGTGCTGGTGCTGCAGAGCCTGAGCTACATCTCCGTGTGGCTCCTGCTGTTGCTGGGCCGCTCCGTGCCGCACATGCAGCTCATGGAGCTTTTCTACAGCATCACCATGGCCGCCCGCATCGCCTACTCCTCCTACATCTTCTCGCTCGTGCGCCCCGCCCGCTACCAGCGCATGGCCAGCTACTCGCGCGCGGCCACGCTGCTGGGTGTCTTCACCAGCTCCGTGCTGGGCCAGCTGCTCGTCACCGTGGGCAGGGTGTCCTTCTCCACGCTCAACTACATCTCGCTCGGCCTCCTCGCCTTCAGCCTGGTCCTCGCCCTCTTCCTGAAGCGCCCCAGACGCAGCCTCTTCTTCAACCGCGACGCCCCTGTGTGCCGCGGGGCTGCGCCCTCCGAGCTGGATCGCATGAACCCGGACGCCAAGCTGGGCCGGGCGCTGCTGGAGGCCTGGCGGGACTGGACCCTGGTGCGCATGCTCCGGGAGCTGGGGGACAACCTGCGGTCGCCGCAGCTCCGCCTCTGGTCCCTCTGGTGGGTCTTCAACTCGGCCGCCTACTACCTGATCGTCTACTACGTGCACATCCTGTGGAACGTGGTCCACCCCACCACGGACTCCACCTCAGTCTACAACGGGGGGGCGGACGCTGCGTCCACCCTGCTCGGTAGGCCCCCGGCTCCACCGACCACGCCCGCCCTGCCTACCCCCCCAGGACGGCGGTGACGTGTCCTGTCTCCCCAGGTGCCATCACCTCGTTCTCTGCGGGCTTCGTGAAGGTCCACTGGGCGCTGTGGGCGAAGCTGGTCATCGCGGGCGTGACGGCGGCGCAGGCTGCGCTGGTCTTTCTCATGTACAGTACCAACAACATCTGGCTGTGCTACGTGGCCTTTGTGCTCTTCCGTGGTGCCTACCAGTTCCTGGTGCCCATCGCCACGTGAGTTGACCTGAGTGGGTGACTGTGTGAGGCCACAGTCTGGGAGGCCACTGAAGTGTCAGAGCCCAGAGCCAGGCGGTGGCGGGCAGCTGGGGGGCACACACCTTCCTCTTGCCAGTTGGGGATGGACAGACCATCCGCACGTGTACAGAGGCCTCCCTTCCAGAGTGTTCCGTGGGGAGCAGAAGGGGCGTGTGCACGCAGTGCTGAGCTCGTTCGGGGTGTGCACTCGCTCGTGTCGGGAGGAGTGGTGGACCCAGGGTGCTCTCCTTTGGGCCCAGTTGTCCCGTTGTCCACAGCACAGCCCGTCCTGGCTTCCGTGACCCTGAGCTTGGTCCACGTGCTGTCCCCTCTGCTTCTCCCATGGAGGCTACTTGGTGTCCACAGTCACCAGCCCTTGTGGAGTCCTTCCTCCCAGCTCCCTCCCCTGTTTTCCAGGCCCCGAGCAGTGCTGTGGGCCCGTCTCGGTGCATGAGGCCTTTCTTGTCCCCTCCCATCGCAGGGCAGTGACGCACGCACGGCCAGGGAGTGACCAGGTGGCCCAGCTCGCCGGCCGCCCAGGGCTGTCCTGATGCCCTCACATTCCTCACACCTCTGGGGACTCCCCTCTGTCTGCCCAAGGATGTCCCCAGAGCTGTCCTCCAGCCCACATGTGCTTTCCAGAACCTTCTCTAGCCCACGTCCTGCTTGCTGCTAAGATCCTCTGTGTGTTCCTTCAAATTGACCCTTCCACGAAGCTGATGCCACACGTGTTCATACCACACACACTCACGTCACACGTGCCCACGTTACATGCACGTAGGGGCCTCCCTCCCTGTGCCTCCCGCAACCAGCAGGTGGGCCTGCTCTGTCACCCTCCGGGGAGGGTGGGGGGCCCTCCTGGTCTCCCTGAGTCAGACATCTGTCCCCACTGCTTCCTGAGCTCAGGCGGCATCCCCAGGCCTGACTCTCCGCTTCCCGTGGCTTCCCTGCTTCCTGCCGCACCATACCCTCTCTCAGCCGGCAGACATCCCGGAAACATTTCTTGGCACATGCCCCCTGTCCTGTCACCAGGATGTAGGCAGGTATAGAGGAGAGAACAGGTGCCTCCTCCCACCCGAGGCCTCGCTGCTGGCATTCAGGTGTCTGGCCTGACGTGACCTGGAGCTCGTCCCTCTGCCTCCTGCCCTGTCCACTTTGCTGTGGGGCTCAGTGTCACAACGCGGGCGTAACCGGGCTCTTGCTGATGCCATGCAGCTGGGCCCCAGTTGACGGCAGTGGTGTGTGTGGTATTTTCCTACGACAGCCCTGAGATCAACATCCTCTTACCGACACTTCTTTCTCCGAATCAGGATGATGGCCTCAGGTGGATCCCAGAAGGGACCTGGCCAGGCAGGGCATGTGCTTTGGAAAGGGGGTGTTGGTAGATAGCGGGAAGTGCGTGGTGGCCCTGCAGGCCCGCTGGCTTTCCCACAGGGACAGCGGGGCTGGCTCCTCCGCGGTGTGAGCGGCCTGTTTGTTCTGCGGGTTCTCTACTGCGTCGGCCGAATGTGCTCGGAGCCTTGTGCCGTGTCCACTGGCACGGCTCGGTTTGCTCCTGCTCAGGGTTGTGGAGACCACGGGGGGCACGAGGAGGGGTGGCGTGGCATTCTGCCGTGCCGGGGACGTGGCCCGGTGTGGGTTTCCCTTGGACCTCTGCCTGACGTGTGTTCTCTCGCTCCGCGTGCTCCCCGGAGGGGGTCACGGAAGCCCAGTGGGTCGGCCTTGCTCCCACCCCAGACCCCAGCACAGCGGAGCCCCTCGGCCTCTGTCATCCCCTCGGAAGGCTTCTTGGGTATGTTTGCTCCTTCACTTTTCAGAGCTCTAGAGTATTTCCTGTCCAGTTACTCGTTTTTAGAGGCGCTTTGGGGATTTCAGTGGGAATACCCTCACATGTCCGTGTCTCTGCAGAGGACCGGGGCTTGAGTGCACGGTCACTCCTGCTTTCATCGTCTGCTCGCTGTCCTGTTCCTAATCTATGAAGTCTTCAACGAAGAACGACCGTGCTTCTAGAATCCTCCTCATGATGCTCTGCCCGTTCTCATGAGGATGACCATCTCTGCCCCAGAATTGCCAGGAGACGTTTTGAACATCCTCCTGGGGGTGCATCTTGTCCTTGGTCTCGGATTCACAGAGCCTGGGGCATGTGCCCAGGAGCGGCGGGTGGCCTGGATGCCGGGAGGGACTTGCCGAGCCCCCTTTGTACTGGGGTGCTTCTCGCCCTGCTGAGTCTCACCCTGGCCGCTTTCCCGTTCAGTTTTCAGATTGCGTCTTCTCTCTCTAAAGAGCTCTGTGCCCTGGTCTTCGGAGTCAACACATTCCTCGCCACCGTCCTCAAGACCATCATCACCCTCATTGTTTCTGACAAGCGGGGTCTGGGCCTCCCAGTCCACTCACAGGTGAGCCCATTTCAGCCTCACTGCCTGGGGGACGGGAGCGTCTGGCCAGAGGCATCTCCCACTCCATGGGTCTGGGACTGTAGGTCCGCACTGGGGGGTGGGGAGTTGTGCACAGGGTGGGCTGGGCATTTCTGGCCAGACACTCAGACTGGAGCGGAGCAGAGATGGAAGGGGCAGCCGGATGCCCTCTGACCTCTGAGGCCGGCCCAGGTGCAGTCCCCTCTGGAGGAGCTCTGACCAGCCCCCGTGCTCCCCATGCTGGCTGATGTCCCAGGAAGGATGGAGGCGTGGCCGCGAGCCCTTTCCTTGTGTGGTTGCAGCGCACTGCCCTCATGTTAGATCTGTGCCCTTCTGTCAGCACCTGTCACACCCACGCCCTGGCTCACGTGCCAGCTATCTGCTCCATGCAGGACAGGAAAGTCAAGCTGGTGGGGTGCCTGCTGGCTCCTCTCCGGTCCCTCCCCTCGTCCAACCCTGAGGGGGTTCTCTGCTGAGCAAAGCTTGAAAGTTCCTGTTCCTGGGAGGTTGGAGGACACTCACACATGTGACTCTGGGTGGTCTCAGCCACGGCAGGACCTGTCCAGGTCAGCTGGAGTTAGCCAGAGGTCGGGCATGCAGGAGGGATGGTAACCGGGTCCCTGGATCCGTGCCCTCAGCCTGGGGGCTTGCGGCCTCCATCTGCCTGGAGCCCGGACCTCCCTGGGCTTGGTGGGCTCCACAGACAAGTCCCGACCTCTGTCTGAGGGAGCTGAGTTGGCCCTTCTTTGGTGACCGCAGAGCTGACCCGGAGGAGGTGCTGGGCAGGGCACCTCCTGCCCTGTCTCTTGTTTAGAGACTGGCCTGTGGAGTTTGGAAGTGCCCTTGGGGAGAAGGAGGTCTGAACCACGTGCTCATGTCTGCAGGCTTCTGCAGGGCCCCCCAGGCTGAGCTCTGGGACTGTCCAGCCCGAGCAGGATTGGCAGAGCCCCCCACGTGGATGAGTGTGCAGTTGCACCCACGGGGTGGGCGAGAGGGGCTGGGGGTGCGCCTGGACCCGGGGGTGGGCAGCCTGGGAGCCTCCCCCGGAAGCAGCAGCTTGGCAGGAGAGCACCCTTGGCCCCAGAACTTCCCATGGAGCCTTGCCTGGCAGCAGCACCCAGGAGGAGCCTCCAGTTGATCCCCTCTGGGCAGCGGGTTGTTAGTGTGGATGGGCAGAGGCCCGTCTCAGTTCCCAGAGGGCTCAGTGGACCCAGCCCATGGTGGCTCTGACCTGCCTGTGGACACCGACCTCAGGTCACTGCCCCTGTTGATGGCCCTGTTCTGCCTGGCGGGCCAGGGGCAGTGTGCCTAGAAGCCAGGCGCTGCCCCGGGGCCCATGGCTGGGTATTACTGGTGGGGGCTTCCCCAGGGGCTGGGCCTTCCCATGTGGTGGCTCCCGGGTCAAGGGGAGAGAAAAATCCGTGAGATTTTCTCTAGCTAGTTTCATTTCCCAGTTAAATAAATCTAGAAGTGGGTTGGTTAGTTTGTGATTAGAAATGCTGATGGGATCCACAGGGAAAGTAGCCCCTGCTCATCTTGCTCACTTTCCCTGTTTACAGCCCGTGTATCTCTTCATGTCATCCCGAGTGCTCTTGACTTTAAAATTAAAACAGCAAAAATGGGCATATTGGGAATGACAAAGAATTGCAATTCAGGACAAGCAAAACCATAGGCAAGTCTGACCCATAAAGGAGAGGGACATATTTTATGGGGAAGAAGGAGGAAGTTGGGAGGGGTTGTTTTGAACGGAAGTCTACCGGAGAAAAGCCAGAGTTCAGGGTGATGAGGGTTTCTCGGTTTCTCAGTTTCCCGATGGCCGAGCTGCAGGGGTGGCTGACGTCTTGTAGGAGATTCCGGGAACTTCCGCTGTTGGGGCCTGTCGCGGGTGATCCTCTCCTGCGGAGGGTTCCTCTGTGGGGTCTTCCTGTGATTGGGGTTGGGTGGCAGGGCCCCCTCCCAGCCTCCAGACTCCGCTTGGCTGAGGTTTACCTTCATTAATTCCCACCGTGTTGAGAGGGAGCGGCATTCAGGCTCGAGACTCGTGGGAACCAGGACACAGTAAGTGGGGAGCTGGCCTGGGTTTGCTTGTTTTTTTTTTTTTTTTTAAAGATTTTATTTATTTGAGAGGGAGCGACAGAGATAGCAAGAGACAGCATGAGCGGGGAGGAGAGGGAGAAGCAGGCCCCCCGCGGAGCAGGGATGCTGATGTGGGGCTCGATCCCAGGACCCTGGGATCATGACCTGAGCTGAAGCCAGACGCTTAATGACGGAGCCACCCAGGCGCCCTGGGTTTGCTTGTTTTTTAAGTTATGCTCTTTATTTTTCATTAAGCGTACACTCGTATGCAGTGTTCGAGGTCGCACAGACCCACACCTCTTCCCACTTTCCCTGCTGGTCACGCCCTGCGGGGCAGCGTCGCTGGGGGGCTGACTTTACACAGGCAAGAGCGAGAAGGCTCCGCCCGCAGGGCCCTGCTCCGGTCATTCCCAGCCACACCCCTGGCCCCAGCCCTACAGTCCCTCCACCATCTTTGTGTCTTCTTTCAACGGTGTCACTTAAGTGGAACCGTGGTCTCTCACCTGTGGGATGGGCTTTCTCGGCTCGCTCTCCTTGAGATCCACGTGGGTCACCATGCTTGCGTGTGCGTGTGTGCGTGTGTGTCCGTCTCCCCCACTGTCCGTCACCGTGTCCGTTGGGTGGTGGACACGGCTGGTGTACCTGCTCCCCGTGAAGGACTCTGGGTTCCCAGGTTTTGGCTTTTGTGAATAACGGTGCTTTGAACATTGCACGTAGGTCTTCATCTGTCTGGGACGAGTGCCCAGAGGAGCCAGTGCTGACCCCTGTGGCGGTTGTGTGGCTTTTAAGGAGCCGCCAAGCTGTTTCCCCGGTGGCTGCCCTGTTTGGCGTTTCTGCCAGCAGATACGAGAAAGCCAGTTGCCCAGATCCTCAGGAGTTCTGGTGTCATCCCTGTTTTTCACTGAGCGTCTGCCTGGCATGGGGCGGTGCTTGTTTGTGGTCCCGTTCGCATCCCCCTGCTGGCGCCAGTGACGCTCTGCCCTCATGTGCCAGCTGCACGTCGCCTGGTGAGGCGGTCCCTCACTCTGCTCCGTTTCCTTGTTGCATGGCTCGTTTCCTCACTCTTGAGTTTTGAGCATTGTTTGTATGTCGTAGGTCCCAGGTCTTTGTTGGATTTATACCGGACCCTTGAACGACACGGTTTGAACTACACAGGTCCACGTATGCGTAGACTTTTTTCAACATATAGAGCACTATAGATGTGTTTTCTTTCTGATTTTCTTAGTATTTTCTGTAGCTTACTGTATTGTAAGAATACGATATGTAATGTGTATATTAACGGTGTGTTAATCGTGTTATTAGTAGGGCTTCCAGTCAACAGTAAGTTACTAGTAGTTAAGTTTTGGGGGAGTCAGAAGTTACACGTGGCACCCCCAGCCCCTACATTTTTCAAGGGTCAGCTGTATACGGTCCGTATGCATTCTCTGAAGCTTGTTCTTCTATCCAGACGGCTTTTGCAGAGCAAAAGGTTTTAATTTTGGTGAGGTCTGATTCACCTGTTTCTCCCTTTATGGATCTGGGTTTTGGTGCAAAGCATAAGAACTTTTTGTATAAGCCAGGTTCTTGAAGATTTCCCCAACATCTTTTTTAAAGTTTTATAGTTTGGGGGTGCCGGGCTGGCTCAGTTGGAAGAGCTTGCGAACTCTTGATCTGGGGGTTATGTGTTTGCGCCCCACATTGGGTATAGAGATTACTAAAATAAATAAAAAACAAAAAATGTAAATAGGGCACCTGGGTGGCTTAGTTGGTTAAGCCTCCAACTCTTGATTTCAGCTCAGGTCATGATCTCAGGGTCGTGAGATTGAGTCCCACGTTGGGCTCCATGCTGGGTGTGGGACCTGCTTAAGATTCTCTCTCCCTCTGCTCCTTCTCCCCCTAAAAAACAAAATACAAAAAACAAAAGAAACATGAAGCTTTGCAGTTATACACTGAAGTCTGTGATCTATTCTGAGTTGATTTTTTATGAGGTATGAGGTTTCCATCAGGGCTGCTTCTGTCTGTGGACATCCGGTCGCTCCAGTACTCTTGTTGAAAAGAGTGTCTTTTCTCTGTTGAGTTCCTGCTGCACCTGTGTCACAATCGAGTGGTGCACATCTGCGTGAGTCTGTTTCTGGGTTCTCCTCCTGCTCTGCTGTCACTGCAGTGTCCTGCCTTCCAGACACATGGGGAGCTCTGAAATTGGGCAGACCGATTCCTTCAGCTTTGAAATGTTTTTTCAGAATTGTTTCAGCTGTTTCTTTGCCTTTCCATGTAAATTTTAGAGTAATTTTGTCTACCTACAAAATTCTTGCTGGGATTTTGCTAGGGGTTGCAGTAAGCCCATGTCGTTTCTGGGAGAATGGGCATCTTTACTCTGTCGAGCCTTCTAGTCTGTGAACGTGGTGCATCTCTCCACTTATTTAGAACTTTCTTGATTTCTTTCAGCATTTTGTAGTTCTCAAAGTAAAAGTATTGTACCTGCTATGTTAGATTTACACCTGAGTATTTCCTTGTTTTTTCGGCAATTGTGGATGATACTGTATTTTTAATTTTAGTGTCTACATTTGCCTGCTAGGGCCGCCATATCAGAATACCAGAGACCCAGTGGCTTAAATAGAATTTGTTTTTCACAGTCCTGGAAGCTAGAAGTCTGAGATCAAGGGGTGAGCAGGGCTGGTTCCTCCTGAGGAACTCGGTGGTGTGTAGACATCGTCTTCTCTGTCCTCACGTGGCCTTTTCTCTGTGTGTGCCTTATCTGGTGTCTCTCTCTCCTTCTAAGGGTACCAGTCTGGTTGGAATAGGGTCCACTGTTAGGACCCCTTTTGACCTTAATCATCTCCTTGAAGGCCTTATCTCCAAATACAGTCACACTGGGGGTGGGGCTTTCACAAGTGAATTTTGGGAGGGACACAATTCACTTCATAGCAATATCTATACAGACACATAGACGTTTCTGAATATATAGAAATACAGTTGACACTTGAGTGTTAGTCTTGTACAGTCTTGCTGAGGCCATCTATTAGTTCTAGGACGTTTTGGTCTTCATATGTTTTATATTTCCTGGTCTTGCCTTCCTGTGGCTGGCTCAAACTTTCTCTTTATTATTTCCTTCTACCTGCTTCACATTTATATTGTTCATCCTTTTTCTAGGTTCTTGAGATGGGAGCTTAGATTAATGATGAGACTTCTTTTCTGACATTTGCATTTTAGTGCTATGCATTTCCCTCCCAGTACTGCTTTAGCTGTATCCCACAGATTGGTGTGTTGCATTTTCATTTTTGTTCATTCCAGTGTATTTTCTGATCTCTTGAGACTTTCTCTTTGACCTATAATTATTTCAAAGGCTTTTGTTTAGTTTCCAAGTGTTTCGAGATTTTCCTGTATTTTTTGTTGCTGATTTCTATTTTCAGAGAATACAGTCTATCTGATTTCAGTCCTTTGAAATTGGTTGAGGTTTGTTTTATGGCCCAGGATGTGGTCTGTCTTGTTATATGTTACGTGGACCCTCGAAAGGGCTGTGAATTCTGCTGTTGTTGGGTAGAGTGTTTTATAAATTCCAGTTAGATCCTGTTATTGATGGTGTTGTTAATTTGTTCTCTATCCTTGTGATTTTTGTCTCGTTCCATTGTTGAGAGAGGGGTGTTGGCATCTCCGTCTTTGTGATTTGGTTATTTCTCCTTTCAGTGCCATCATGTTTTTGCTTCACGTTTATAGCTCTTTTGTTTGTTGCATGTGCCTTGGGAATTGCTGTTGTGCCTTGGGAATTGCTGTGTGTGTTTCGATGAATTGAGCTTTTGGTCATTATGGAATGGAATGTCCTTCTCTGCCTCTGGTCATTTTCTTTTCTCTGAAGTCTGCTTTACCTGGTATCAACATAACCACTCCTGTTTTCCTTTAATTAATGTTTGTGTGATATAGTCTCTTTTACCCCTTGTTACCTGACTGTATTGTTATATTTGAAATGAGTTTCTTGTAGACCACATAGGGTTGAGTCATGTTTTTTCATCTATTCTGCCAACATCTGTCTTAATAAGTGGTGAATTTAGACCATTTATAGTTAGTGTAACTATCGATGTGTTAGAGTTTATGCTGCCATACCATTTTTGCTTTTCTTCTATTGTTTATACATTCTTTAGAATTTTATTTTGGTTTATCTGTTGTGTTTTTTGAGTATATCTCTTAGTGTAGCTTTTTTAATGGTAACTTTATGTGTTAAATGACTGGTCTGAGTGAAGTATGGAAATCTTACATCTTACTATGTCATTCTGCCTTCCACTGTCAATGGTACTCTTGTCTTAAGTGTTTTCTTTATGTACCAGTACCGCCACATGAGACAGGGTTCTGACTTTCGCTTTAAGTATCAAACATTTAGAAGATTCTAGAGGAGAAGGAAAGTCTTCCATTTACCCATGATTTGGCTCACTGTGTTCTTTCTCTTTCCTGTTGGTCCAGGGATTCTTCTTTATGATTTCCTTTCTGTTTAGAGCACCTCCTTTAAGCCATTCTTTTAGGGTAGGTCTGCTGGTGACAAATTTTTCTCTTTTTCCTTCTTCTGAGAGTGTCTTGATTTCCTTTTCATTTCTAAAGATTATTTACTGGATATAGGCTTCTACGTTGATAGTTTTTTCTTTTAACTTTGAAAAATGTGTCCCTTCCTGGCGGTCTTCATGGTTTCTGATGAAAAATCCACTGTTTTTCCCTTAAGGTGTCACTTTTTTCTGCCTGCTT